TGAAAAAAAAAAAAGAAAAGAAAAGAAAAAGAAAAAGTTTGCTGACCCCTGGGTCCAGATAGGTAGGAGTTAGCCATATAAAGCTGAGTGAGGAAGTGGGAAGTCAGTTTCTGATGAGATCTTTGTACGGCATGGCATCAGGAGGATTGTTTGAGTTATGTGGCTAGAAGCATGGGCGGGATCCAGACTGGGACAAGCCTAGGCAACTATAAGAAGGGATTTGCATTTGTCCAGTGGGGAGTCCTTTTTTTTTTTTTTTTTTTTGTAGAGACAGAGTCTCACTTTATCACCCTTGATAGAGTGCTGTGGCATTACAAGATCACAGCAACCTCCAACTCCTGGGCTTAGGCAGTTCTCTTGCCTCATCCTCCTGAGCTGGGACCACAGGCGCCTGCCACAATGTCCAGTTATTTTTTGTTGCAGTTTGGCCTGGGCTGGGTTTGAACCCGCCACCCTCGGTCTATGGGGCTGGTGCCCTACCCACTGAGCCACAGGTGTCGCCCCCAGTGGGGAGTCTTTAAAAAATTTAAAGTGATGTGATCAGATGTACTTGTTGAAAAATCCTCTGGCCACTGTGTAGACATTGGGCTGGTGAGGGTGGGGTGAGAAAAGAGACAGGGAGAGGAGTTGAGGCTTTTATAGTCACTTAAGGGAGGTGGTCACCTGGATTAGAATAGTGATGTTGGGGATAGGAATAAATTGATTTGAGAGGCATTTAGGAAACAAAATTGAAAGGCCTTGATGTCCTAGTTCATTTAGATGCTGTAACAAAATACCGTAGACTAGGTGGCTTATAAACAACAGAGATTTATTTTTCATAAATAAATCTGGGAAGTCTGAAGATCTAGATGGTGGGAGCTTCATTTTCTGGTTCACTTCTTGGTTCACAGACAACTGTCTTTTTGATGTGTACTCACTTGGTGAAAGGGTGAACTCTGATCTCCTCACCCCTTTATAAGGGCACTAATCTAAATCATGAGGACTCCACCCTTATGACCTAAACACCTCCCAAAGGCACCACCTTCTATTACATTACCTTAGAAGTCAGGATTTCAACATATGAATTTGCGGGGGATGTATAAATATTCAGTTTACAGCACTTGGTGATTGATTGGAGGCATTAAAATATGAATATTTTCATGTTTTAAATGATTGTTTTTCTCTGGTTCATGTGAAAAGCATGGTTGAGAATTCCATGTTTAGTAATAGCTGTCAGAGCAAAATTCTTCAGTGACGTATCACGCTTCCTATACTTGGGTATTGAGATTGCATCTCTGTGGCTTCTTCATATTCAATAGCTTTTTTATTTATTTTTATTTTTTTATTTTTTGCAGTTTTTGGCCAGGGCCAGGTTTGAACCCACCACCTCCAGTATATGGGGCTGGCGCCCTATTCCTTTGAGCCACAGGCACTGCCCCTGTGGCTTCTTCATGTTGTTCCCTGTTGACAAGAGATTTGACTTTTAAGGAACAGAGAAGTTATTGGCAGATTAATTTTCCTTTTCAGGTTTATTTTGGTTTAACAACTTTCATTTCTTTTTTGAGAGTCCTTGGGCTTTTTGGTTTCCAAGGCTGTTTGTTTACAGTGACAAGCACGTCTTATTCCCTAGAGCACTTAGACGCTTTCCAATTTTAGGTCTCTGACCCTTGCCTTTCTCTTGGAGTTCAAGTGTCACTTGCAGTGGATGGTAACAAGATCACTATCTTTTTCTTTCTTTCTTTCTTTTTTCTTTTGAGACAGAGTCTCACCATGTTGCCCTCGTAGAGTGCTATGGTGTCACAGCTCACAGCAACCTCCAACTCTTGGGCTTAAGTGATTCACTTGCCTCAGCCTCCCAAGCAGCTGGGACTACAGGTGCCCACCCAAACTCCCTGCTATTTTTTTTGTTGTTGTTGCAGTTGACATTGTTGTTCAGCTGGCCTAGGCCAGGTTTGAACCTGTCAGCCTCGGTGTATGTGGCTGGCGTCATAACCATTGTGCTATGGGTGCCGAGCCTGTTGTGAGTCAACTTACTTGATCCTATGGTAAAGTTATAAAGAAGACAGGATAGGTCAAATGACAGAGATTGAGAGTGGTCAGTGGGCTTGCCCAATGTCAGAAGGCCAACAGATGGTAAAGCAGATGACAAAGCAGGTTTTTGGATTTCATAGTTTTCTGTTTTCAGGTTTTTTTTTTTTTGGCTGGGGCTGGGTTTGAACCTGCCACCCCCCCCAACCCCCGCGTAGGGAGCTGGCGCCCTACTCCTTTGAGCCACAGGCGCCGCCCAGTGTTCTTTATTCTGTAATACACTCTGCCTCCAGAAAAAGGGAGTTAGACTGGCTGGAATAGTTATGGTTTCAGAAGTAAAAACAATCAGATGAAATACTTTCCTTCTTCTTTTTGTATATTCTGTGGGGCTTCACCCAGATACCAGCATAGGCATTTCCTGTGCTTGGAAGCAACATGTGGACTACTAGTGATTCCTAGACAACAGATGGAGAAGTTCTGGTTTATATATTAAAGCATAAACATGTGTAAGAGTGTTTTAATTCCTTCCCCTTCTCTTTAGGCGGTTCTAACTTTGGCAGTTCAAGGCCAAATGGGAAAGGTCTGCCTGTGAAAGAAAGCTCCAGGGGTCAGGATAAACCAGAAAACTTGTTCTCAAGGTAATACGACTCTCTCTTCTTTATCTCTTAGGACTGAGGTTTTCCTCCCTATAGAACTGAGACCGTTACTGTGCTTAATACCTTGTGTAAACTTGTCCCAGAGTAGCTGGCCGAAGAAATCTTTTTTTTTTTTTTTTAGACAGAGTCTGACTTTATTCCCCTCTGTAGAGTGTGGTGGTGTCACAGCTAACAGCAACCTTTAACTCTTGGGCTTAAGCAATTCTCTTGCCTCAGCCTCTCAAGTAGCTGGGACTACAGGTGCCCGCCATAATACCCGGCTGTTTTTAGAGATGAGGTCTTGCTCTGGCTCAGGCTAGTGTCGCATCTGTGAGCTCAGGCAATCCACCCATCTTGGCCTCCCAGAGTGCTGGGATTACAGGTGTGAGCCACTGTGTCTGGCCATAAGAAACGTTCTTGATATTGCCTGATATTTATTGAGCACTTTCAGGGTATACCAGACACCATGTTCTTATGTGGATTATCTTATTTTAACGTTAAAGGGGAATAATATTTTTTTGTTTCACAGCTAAGGAAACCCATTTAGTGAGAAGTTCTATATCTCACCCAGTATCCCAGAACTAACGAGTGGCTGATCCAGGATTTGAAACTGGCAGTCTAACCTTGCCTTAGAAATGCAGAAGATTAAAAAAAATGTTTTGGAGTTCCTGACTGAAGACACCTTTTTCTCCTTTTTTATTTACTTCTTCTCCACCTACCCCATGTTGTTATATATATATATATATA